AGCTTTGTAACATGTGACTCAAGAATTTTATATACAATAAACCTATTTATGTAAAGACAATGGGAATTATGCAAATGCATATATTCTCTCTGAAAAAATGTAACTCAAAGATGCTTTCCACTGGAAGGGAACAATGAATCTAAGGTAGGAGGAACTCAAGAATGGCAGATAAGGCGGGAGCAACACCGAGGGTTGCGATCCCGTGGCCGGTGCCGGCTGAGGGTTGCAATCCCGTGGCCGGTCCCGGCTCAGTACGGGCGTGACACTGAGGGTTGTGATCCGTTGCTGGTCACGAAAAAAGACAAAAAGGAAAAAAAAAAAAAAAAAAAGAATGGCAGATAAAAACTGGTAGGAAATGGTGAGCAGCTGATTGTATTGAAATAAGTCCAAACAATTGAAGCAAATATATTGCCAAAATTGAAATCAAAAGATTAAATTGATTAAACTGATTGAAATAGTGGGGTAATGGCATGATACATCAGTTGGAGATCAAAAGTATGAAGTAAGGGGGAAGGGAAAGCAAGTGTCTTTTTTAAGGAAAAAAATGAAGGTAGAAAAGATATATATCCATCTGTATTCAGGTGTAATAAGAGCAACCCCAGTAGTCTTTATTTTTATTTTCTATTGTTTTTTGCATTAGCCGGTAAGGGAATACGAACCCTTGACCCTGGTGGTGTAACACTGCACTCTAACCAACTGAGCTAACCGGCCAGCCCAGTAGTCTTTAACAAAGCATTAAAGCCCAAAACTATTAGATACAAGAAAAAACAACAACCTCTAAATACAAGGTATCTCTGCTTATTAGACAAACCAAAAAAAAAAAAAAATTCGTAATCAAAATATGATTATTCAAATGTGAACAAAGAGAAATTCAGGTCTGGGAATACTAATATCAAGTAATGCAGAATTATACAAGTCAAAAAGTATTAAACTGTTAATTTCATTTCTTTATCTCTAGTCCCTTGTACGTGATAGGACCTTAATATATATTAGTAAGATACATTGTGGAAGTAGAAGCAATAGGCAAAAGGTATGTGGGAAGGGATGGCTTGCCTGCCAGGGCTCCTTGGGTATAAGTTTTAAGAGATCTCCATTTTGGAATACTGGAGAGGGCACATACTTTATCTGCCCTACTCACCTTCTTCTGGGAACTGCTTCCTCTTCCTTCCTCAGTACGCTCCCTGTGCGATCTTGGATCCTGGAACAGTCGAGGAATTCAAGATTAGGTTCCTGACCTGAGCCTGGCAAACCATAGGACCTTGTCTCTGAGCCTTGCTTTGTTAATTTATGGGAAGGCACCTGAACCAAGAAGGGGCCATCACAGTCCCTCGCTGATGTCTTTTCAAACTCTGAAAAAGAAGGCCAGTTAGAAACAGTAAGATGGAGGTACTGGCTTGCTATTGGTGCCCATGTTTCTTGCCACAGGGAAGAAACTAGTCTACAATGAAAGAGAATGAAATATAATACAAAAAAACCGATTTTCTGGTGGCATTTAAATTTCTGGTTCCATTTAAACCTCAAGCCTACCTATGTCCCTGTGCTTCCCCTGGTTCAATTGTGGGACTTTTTCTTGAATTACATGATCTATCCCAGTAGCCTCCTAAAAACTTCCCTTTTTTGCCTAAACTAGAGTTGGGTTTCTGTCACTTGCAATCAAGAGAGTCCTGACTAATACAGTTACCTTGTTAAAAAATTTAAATAGTGTTACATATGTCCTGATAGATGCTATTGTATTACTCAATTGAATTGAAGTGTTAAGCCAGGTTTCCAGGTCCCACAGTGCAAAGAGAGCATACAACTTGGCTGAAAGCAAGCTAGTTATCATAGTAATTTGATTTAAGAGTAATCATTGTGGGTTAGTGATTTTTTATTTTTTGAGAATTGCTACTTTTTTGGTGTACAGCAGTATACCAGGCAGTTTTGCAACCTTTTCACATATCTACTCCCCCCCCCCAGATTTTCCTACATTTTTGCTTTTTAAATTTGCTTTTTAAAATTTTAAATATTTGATTTTTGAATTTAGAGTCAATTACTTTTTCCTCTGGGCTCCTTGTAGAAGCAAAAAGTTGGAGCAATCTCAATGTATAAAAATAAGGGATTAGTGTAAAAGAACAAACTATACATCTCAAATAGTGCATTAGTTGGAAACACAAACGTCTAATATGTTGTAAAAACATGAGACCAATAGAATTATTTTATAGTTTTTCCTACTCTTCAAGTTTTTTCCCATTAGGAAAAAAACTCTAACTTACGGAATATCAGAAAAAATTAGAAAACTAACTTAGAAAATATCAGAAAACAAAAGCAGATGAACAATTTCTGGCCTGGTTTCCCTCACCCTGAGCCCCCTCATCCCCGGTCCCCTCTTGACACAGACAGAGCTGCAGGCTCCAGCAGCACCTCGGATCAGAAGTCAGAGTGGTAGCATCTCTCCTTACCCTCCCTCCCAAGGGTTGCTGTTTAATCAAGGGCAGGTTGGAAACTGAGCTCACCATTGGGAAAGCTCCCACCCCTCACTAGCAGGCATGAGACACTGGTATCTGGATGGAGGCCCCCTCACAGGCTATTGGAGTGAGAGCTGCAGAGGGTTGAGGTTAGGGATGAAGGGGTAGGGAGGTCAAAGGAAGTGGCAGGAGATAAGGGGTTTTTGATAAAAGCAGAGGTGATGTGAGTGGGTTCAGTCCCTCTGTGTGACCTCAGGCAGGTTCATTCCTCTTTCTGGGCCTCAGTTTCCCCATTTATGTAAGAGCAAATCAGGTTGGGTGACCTCTGGGGTCCCAGTCAGCCCTGACTAGCTTTGATTTTGGGAGTTGGAAATACAAAGAAAGGAGGTCATAGGACAGTTAATGACCCTGTAGAGGCGGACACAGAAGGGTTGATGATTGTGAACAGGGATGAGGGCAAATACAGAGCAGGGCAGAGAAGTGCTCGGGTGCACCATTTTCTTTTTGGAGAGAGATGAGGTGGAACAAGTGCAAGTGAGGTTGGCATCTTGGGCAGGTTAGAAGGTGGTGAAGCTTTGGCAGAAGAGGCATTAGTAGTACAATTCAAAGAACTGTTGAACTGCAGTTGGACAGTCCTGGGTTTGAATTATAGCTCCACTGCTTCCTAGCTTTAAGCCTCAGATTGTCCACCTGTAACAATGTCTATAATAATTACCTGGAAGGGTGCTGTGCAGAGCAAATGAGACAACCCAGAAACAGCTTTGCAAACCCTGAAGGCTGTCAAATAGGGGTTCAATAGTCACTGGATCATTGTCAAACAGGAACTGCAAACTGCTCTCCCTTAGCTGAGTGGGGGGGTCTATTTTCTATGGACAACATGCCTCTGTCCCCGCCCCTGTGGCCCATTGTGTGTGTGTGTGTGTGTGTGTGTGTGTGCGCACGCGCGTGTGTGTGTGTGTGTGAAAGATGTGATATTTATGTGAATCAAAGGGAAGCGGACTGAGAAATTCCAGTATGTGCAGAGTCCGCGAGATGTGATATTTATGTGAATCAAAGGGAAGCGGACTGAGAAATTCCAGTATGTGCAGAGTCCTGGCTGGATCAGGCACCATGGGTTGAATGCCGGCTTAGTCACTTTTCAACTGCATGCCCTAGGGCAAGTCTTTCACCTAAGATTATTTGTGTATAAAATGAGGATGAGGGATAATCATACCCACCTCACAATACTGCACCGAAGATGAAAAGGGAAAGTGAATAGCAAAGCCTTTCTAAATCTGAGGACCCATACAAGTGAACTGCAGTGCTGCAGGGGGAGTTGCACTGAAAAACACCGCGAGGAGTTTGCTTAGGGCCAAGGCAGAGTGAAGAATGGTAAGTAAAGTGGTTGGACTTTGGAATCAGAGAGCCTTGAGACTGCCCATCCTTCAAGGCTGTGACACAGGCAAGTTGCTTAACCACACTCATCTATGAAAGCAAGAATATCTACACCTCACAAAACAGGTGAGAATTAAATTAGTTGTCTGCTATGCATCTCATATCAACCCTGCACACAGTAGCACTAGAAGAATTGCTATTGATAAGGTCCCCAACAATTCACCTTCAATGTTCTATGCTTATATTTTCCTTAACCTCAGCTTAGTTTTGTAAGCTGTGAACACCTCCTACAGGCAAAGCTCCATCCCAGGTCAAGGAGCCAGGAGTTCATGTATCAGAAGCTGGAAGCTCATGGCAGGCAGGGCTCTGCATCCCTCCCAGACCTGTGAAGTCTTTCTGTGACCAGCTGGGGCTTAGGACAATGAAGAGAAGTTAAACTGAAGGCCCATGAACCATGTAGTCCATGTAGAAGGACCTGCATAAAAATGGTCAAATAAGCAAAAGTTTTAGCGCTTGGGTAAGCATCCTGTTATGGATCAGAGCATGACCAAGTCTGTCTGTGCTAAACCCAGAGGTCAGAGCCATCAGGCCTTTCTGGAAAGGCTGCAGATCCCAGAAACACATGAGCCAAGCCACAAAATGGGGATGACCTACTTTACTGGACAGTAAGCTTTCACTATGCCAAACAAAACCAAACTCAACAAAACTTTTCATTCCGTAAACTCAATATATTTGGCACCCTCATTTCATAGCACTCTTTTTTTGGCAGAGTCATTTTGATAACATGCTCCTGTGATACAGAGGCACATGATAAATAACAAACTGAAATTTCCTCCTCTGTAAAGCTCCCCAGAAGAAAGATAAAGTAGTGTGGCATGAACCCACATGAACTCCTATGGTAATTTTCAATATCCCCAAATTGCAAAATAGTAATAGCTAACATTTATATACTACCTGCTCAGTACTGTTCTCAGAGTACTTTACATATATTATTGCAATCTGTCATAAGCACACTAAGAGGAAAGTAGAATATACAATTATCCCACTTTACAGATGAAGAAACTGAAGTGCAGACTAATTTGCCCAAGGTCATTTAAGCCGACAGGCTCTCAACATGATTAATGTGGAGGCTTTGGCTAGTAATCTTTGCTATTTTTAATTTAAATGAACTTAGCTTTAGAGTTATGTTGAAGACTGCTTTATTATTTGTACTAAACCAACAGGTAAATAATGAACTCTAAGATTGGTCAGTGCCTTGAAAGGGCTAGAGTATACAGAAGGGAAAGATCACTTCCAGTTTGGGAGGTGGGTGGATGGTCAGGGCAGGCTTCACAGCAATGGCATCTAAGCCAGGTCTTGAAAGATAAAAAACATTGTGTCCTATACTTAGGAGCTCAGTCAATACAACGCAAATATTAACAAAGCTGAGACAACTGATGACAATAAGAAACATGTCCTAAACAAGATGCACACCGTATATGTGACACTATTTCCTCTTCATCCCAACACCCACTTTAATTTAGTTTTCTGACTTCAGGTCTGGCTGTCATACCTATGTTCCAAATACAAAAATTGATCATGGAAACCAAAATCTAATATTTTTTCGTCTCTATGATAAACATCTCTTATTGTCATGTCTCAGTAAGAATAAATCATCTTTGTTAAAAAAAAAAAAAAAAATTGAGCAGTCTTGCTATGAATCCAGGCAAAGGTATGACTAACAAAATTTCCTAACAGAAGACAGTGAACACTGTGGCAGATTAATTCTGGAACTACAATAACCCTGATCTCATTATGCTATGAAGTCAAATTAATCAACTTTGATAATTATGCACCTAAACTATCAAAACCAATTAAGGAAAAATTTCATTCAAAATTTAGACAGAGCAACAATAATCCAGATAATTAAAGTACTCTGCTGAATGTGGAATTGTACCGTATTTATAACTTAACACTGGTAAGCGTCGGAATGATTACAGCATAAAAGACATTGTTTTTCTGATAAAGTAGACAGGGACATGTGGCATACAGGAAGGTGGCTCAGATTCAAGACTCAAGTTTATTTTTAAAAAATCTCTTCTGCACTAGGTTCCAGGTTTCTTTTTTGGTTTTAAAACTGGTCTACAACTCATAAAAATGGCATTAATGAATGTAGCATTAAGACCTCAAAAAGAATTTGGTTATTCTGGCAGTTTGGTGACATATGAGTAGAGCTGTTCTGTAAATGCTTCAGAAGAAAATTTTTCCTTCACTCTGGCTCTTCCAGCCAAGCCCATTCTGGCTTTTAAGGAAGGTTCACGGATGAACTTTTCTATTGCTTCTGAGAAGTGCAGTGGGTCAGGCTCACACAGAAACCCTGTGATGCTGTGGACAACGGACTCCAAGGGCCCACCCGAATTAACAGCAATGACAGGGCACTGCATGTACATGGCCTCCAGGATGAACTTTTCTATTGCTTCTGAGAAGTGCAGTGGGTCAGGCTCACACAGAAACCCTGTGATGCTGTGGACAATGGACTCCAAGGGCCCACCCGAATTAACAGCAATGACAGGGCACTGCATGTACATGGCCTCCAAAGGAACAATACCAAAGTGCTCATTGCTCGGTGTGTAAAGCACACATGTGCAGCCATGCAGGAGTGAGATTTTCTGTTTGTCTGAGAAAGACCGCAGGAAGGTCACATATTGGTCAAGGTCATACTGCTGGACCATTTTCTTCAATTCCTGATAGTGTTCCACATTCTCCAGGACTCTCTCGTCATAACCACCTGCTATGATCAGATGAACTCTCTCCCAATCTTGGGATGTCAATCTTCCACGCAGCTGTACTAGGGCTTCCAGTGCCAAAGTCAGATTTTTCTTCCTTTCATATCTGTTGATGGAAAGGAACAGGAATTTTTTTCCCTCAGGGACTAAGTCATCAAGCTTTTCAGGAACAGCTGAGTCAAAGCTGGTGACATTCAGAGATGGGTAGAGGATGTCAGGATCTATGTGAGACAGAGACTTGAAGGTTTTCTTAAAAATGGCAGCTGTGAACCTGCTGTTGACCACGATGCAGTCTGCCATGCCTGTGGTGTATTCTTCTATCCAGTCAATTGGGGCCCTGTATAGCCGTTTAAGAAAAGAATCTCTCTTGGTGAGAAGCAGATCTGGAAAGTGACAGTAAAACAGAATCTTCTTACGCCGTCTGGCCAGCCTGAGCACTGGTATACAGGCAGATACCTAGTCAAAGCAAAAATCAACAGCAGATAAAGTGACTGGTGAATTCAGCTTCAACCAAACCAAAAGCACAGAGACCCATCCTGCCTGCTAGCCTGTGGGCTCTTCATGGACAATGTCTCATCCTGCCTTGTTTTCCCCCAGACTCTCACCCAGCACAATGCCTGGTGCATAGAAGACTAGTAGACGTTTGCTAGATGTGTTCTAAACATTTAAAGCTTCAAGTCCAATGGTTTTCTCTTGAATAATGCTTTCCAACAGAAATAAAATAAAAACCTAGTAACATTAACAAATTTTTTAAGGGTGAAATTAATATATTTTACTTATCCAAAATACTATCATTACAAAATGTAATCAATACTAAAAAATTTTAATGAGATACTTTACATTTTCCTTTTTTCACATTAAATCTTCAAAATCAGGTTTGTGTTTTAAATTTTAGCACATCTCAGTTCAGACTAGCCACATTTCAAGGGCTCAAAAGCTTGTGGCTGGTGGCTAACATATTGGACAGTGCAGTTCTCGGATCTTTCTTCTCCTAAGGAACTGAAAGGAATAAACTACAGTAGTTAAGAGCATAGGCTCTGGAGTCAAGATTGCCAAGGTTTGAATCTCAACTCTACTGTGACCAGGATCAAATAATTCATCCCTCTCTGGGCTTCATTTTCCTCTTCTGTAACACGGTGACAGTTATAATTAAAAAAAATCTATATGGTTGTTGTGATTATTTAATGCACTGATAAATGTAAAATGCTTTGAGTTTAGTACATAGTATGTGCTCAATAAATTATTAACCATAATCATTGCTGAGCAAAAACTACATGCTTGCATTACTAGAGACTGTCTTGTTGAGTAATCTCTACAAGTCGCTTAATCCCCAGCTCACTTAATACCTCAAGAAGGTCAGCTTTAGGTATATTGTGAAATTTATCCAAGGCTACTTAGCTAAAGTGGCAGATATGGAACTCGATAATACCTCAAGAAGGTCAGTTTTAGGTATATTGTGAAATTTATCCAAGGCTACTTAGCTAAAGTGGCAGATATGGAACTCGAATCCAGGTCTCCTACTTCCAAGCCCAGAATTTCTTCTCTACACTACAGTCTCAGCTGCCTTGTGCTTACTGATACAAGTAGGATGTTTGGTAAATGTCCATATTTCTTAAAACCAAAAAGCTCCCACACAGGCAAAGATGATCAAATATAGCTCAGGAGACACAATTAAAGAAATACAAATACAAATGTGGTGCCATTTCTACCTATCAGTTTGGCAAAGATGAAAATGGTCGACAATATCCCATGTGTACAAGAGCGCGGAGTAACAGGCTCTGTCACACACTGCAAGAGAATAAATTGCCCCACCAACGTTATTTCTAGAAATTTACTCAAAAGACATGCTTGCAAAAAAATAAAAAAATAAAAAAAATAAAACGATATTCATTACAATACTGATCTATTCCGAAAAAACTGGTCACAATGTTAGCGTCCTTTAATAAAAGAATATATCTGGAAGGATACAGGAGAAACTGTTAATAGCGGCTATTCTCAGGGAGAGAAATGGGATGGGACTTTTATATTTTACCCTTTTATACTATTTTAATTTTTAGGGCTGAGCGAATGTTACTTTTTGAAATACATTTTTCTGGGGGGTAGGGGGAACATAAGAAGAGTCTAAAATAGCACACCCATGTGGATGTTATTTACCAAGGTAAAGAACGTGGACTTTTCTCCAAAGACCAATGGGAAGCCCTGCTACAGTTTTAATGGGGGAAAGTCATATTTAGCTTGGTTTTTAAACACATGACACTGTTTAGAATCAGAGTGGCCTGTATGGAAGTAGAATTAACAGAAATAATAGAGAAGAGCGAAGACAATACAAGAAGTATTTTTAGAACGAGCCCCAAGGCCTGTTTGCTTCAGAATCATCCGACGACCCAGTTAAAATGCAGATTTCTGGGCCCCACCTCAGGGATCCAGGATGAAAACTTCCCGGAGCATGGGGCCCTGCAATGTGCACCTTTAAGGGGTCCACACTCAAGCTGCAGAACCAGTCTCACTCCCAGCTCTGACTTCTTAGGTCAGTTCCAAGCTTTCCGAACCGCAGACGGCAGAGGTCCTCCCTTAGAGGCCATGCGTGTCCTCCACAGTGCGGCCAACGCTCGCGCGGCCGGCCCGGCGACCGCCTCACCTGGTCGCACACGACCACGTCGAACTCCTCGTCGGCGAGGAACAGCACGTAGAGCGCCAGGAAGACCATGCGCACGTAGGCACAGACGGCGGCGCCGCGGCCGCCCCAGCCCAGGCTGCGCGGCAGCCAGTCCCCGGCGCAGTGCACCGGCAGCTCGCGGCTCTCGGCGAAGCAGTGGCGTGGATCATAGTGCGCTGTCCAGATCTTCACGCTACACCCGCGAGCCTGCAGCGCCAGCGCCGCGTCCAGCACCAACCGCTCGGCGCCGCCCACGCCGAGGTCCGGGTGCAGGAACAGCACCGACGGGCTGGGACCCGGCTTCAAACCCTCCTCCTGCTTCTCCTCCATGGCCCGAGAGCTGCGCCTGCGCCCTGCGCGCAAAAGGGGCTTCCGCGCAAGCTCCGCCCTCTGGCTCCCAGCTGGCCACTGCGGGTCGACCCCGCCCTGCCGCGCGTGCGTCATTTAGGCCACATCAGCGCAAATCAGTGGGCGCCTAATAACTGCCAGAGAAGATTTCTCGTCTGACCTTAGCTATATACTTTCTTTGGTAGGAATTGGAGCCTGTTAAGGACTCTGTAATTCAAAATAAGGAGAAGGAAGGCCTGTACTTCCCACACTGCCGCTAACCAAGTCGCTTGTAGAAGACTTTCTACAGGCATATCGTGGGACAACTCAGGCGTCCCTGGAGTCAGCGAGGACCTTGCTCGCAGGTCTGGGGGCGGAGCCCGACCCATTCTCTCCAGCTGCAGGACCTTTGGTGGCTCCGCAACTTACCGACCGTCAGCATCAGCGCCCTGCCACCCTCCGGCCTCCAGCATGGTATGGCGGCCCTAGCTTCCCCTTCTTGGTCCCTGCCTCTTCCTGGCGCCCTGACTCCTGCCTTACGCCTCGTCCTTCTTCTGTGGCTCCCTTGCTTTCCCCAGCGTCCGGTGTGGGTGTCGGTCTCGGGTGCGGGCCGGTGGCGCTCACCCGTCTGTCTGTCTCTCTCCACAGCCTGGTCCGACCCCCAGTGGCACTAACGTGGGCTCCTCTGGACGCTCTCCCAGCAAGGCAGTGGCTGCCCGGGCGGCGGGATCTACTGTCCGGCAGAGGTAAGGATCCCTGCGGCCTGCTCTGTTGCGAACTCGGAGAGTTGGGGCCCAGGAGTAAGCTTGGAAAGGAGACCCTGGGATTTGAAGATTCACAAGGGAAAAATGAACTTCAGATGACGTGGCCGTGGGAGTAGATACAGGCCTTTTGGGAAGGAGGCGGAATTATTTCTCGTTGTTCAGTTTCGCGCATCACTTTTAAAAAAGGAAAGTTAAACTGGAATAGGGTCAGAGACCACTTTAAGAAAACTGATGTCATTGAACTGGTGTCGCTGGACCTGAGCTCTGCATTCTCATTTCCATCTGGAGTTCCTACACAGTTATTAAACTATCTAACATAACTTGTCCGACACAAAACTCAGTCTCTCCATTGACCCTACCCTCCTCCGTCCGCAATTATTTCTCTATGTGGCACTGCTATGCACTCGTTTACCCAAAGCCAGAAACTTCAGCGTCATCTTGGGTTCTTCTTATGCTATCTGGCTATCCAGTCATCTACAAGACTTTAAATTCTACATGAAAACCTTCTCATCAGTTCTTTTTTCCTCCATTTCTACTGCCCCAGCTTAGCCCTCAACCTCTCTCGTCTACTTATGCGTTTGTTACCTATCTCTTCTCTCTCCACTTCAATTCCAGTTTATCCTCCACTTTGCTCTTACTCTTCTGCTTAGTTTTTCCAGTTAGTTTCTTGTTGCTTAACTTAAAAAAAAAGGGCAGGAGGGATTACCAAGGCTCTTGATGGTCTTTTCAAACTAACTCTGTCTTCCCTTTCCTGTGGTCCAGCAACAGTGAAGTTATTGCTGTTTTCTGAAATCAGTACCTCTTCCTCCTCAAGGCAAAATTTTATTTGTTTTTCAAGACTAAGCCCAGGGATTATTTCACTTGTGGCCTTCTCTGTATTTGCGAGCAACAGTAGCTATTAGCTTTCACTTTTGCTCCCATGGCATTTTGTGCGTATCATCATAAGACCATTTATGTTTCCATATTCCTTCTTTCCTAGACTTTGACAGAGAACCTGCCCAAGTCATTTCTATTTGTAGCCATAAGGCCTGACACAATAAATGATGAATTAATGAAGGAATCAAGCAACCTTGTTGTCTTAGAATTTTTGAAGGAACTAGTGGAGTTTTGTCTAGAGAGGGAAAGGCCTCGAAGGGATGCATGAAATCTATTCTTAAGGATGTGAAGAGGGATGAGACTTTTCTTGTTGGCTGCAATAGGTAAATCTAAAACTGATGATTTGAACTTACATGAAATAGATTTCATCTCAGAGCAAAGAAATTCTGACAGAACTGTTGGAAATGGTAAGATTATCCTGAACGATTGTCAGTTCCTGTTATTGAACTGTTCAAGAGAAGTGTATCAAGCTGTGGTTTAGTTTATATGGGCTTGGAGTGTTTTCTCATTTTCACCCTAGAATTTGGAGATTCTTTGTACAGGAATGGGAAACATGTCCTGTAGGTACATCTTCTTCAGGAATTGGCCTGGTTAATGAGCATTGGTAGTACTGTGGCAGGGAAGTTTGGCCATCTGAGTATTTTTAAAGGAAAAAGGAGAAGCTCGTACTCACCAAATGTGAATTTGATGATAAAATAACTTAGTTAATAAACAAAAATGAAATAACTGATGCACAAGTGAAATGGAGAACTTAAACATTTGAGACCACATGCAGCTTTTAAAGTTATGGGTGTTGTCATTTTTTAGGATTCAGTATGATGGGGCCAGTGTAACTAGACAGACCATAATTGTATGTATTGAGAGACCCAGCAATGTTCCCTTTTAGAATTTTGGCACTGGTTAAGTATTATTTCATGAGTGTAACGTAATACGTATTGGTTGTCTAAGAATATGTCCTTGCTTCGTAAGTCTTTAAGAAAATATTGAGGCTAATGATTAATATGCTTTGGATTATGTAGTATGCATATTTGCATTCTCCATGCTCCGTATTGGTTGTCTAAGAATATGTCCTTGCTTCGTAAGTCTTTAAGAAAATGTTGAGGCTAATGATTAATATGCTTTGGATTATGTAGTATGCATATTTGCATTCTCCATGCTCAATGAGGTAATAGAGTTAGTACCTTGGAGAAGAAGTGGTATGGGATTTAAGGTCAGACCGGGGTTGGAGTCTTTGCTCTGCTTAATACAATGTAGAAGGAAGTTGCTGTGAGGATGAAAGGAGCAGTAATGCTCTGTAAACTGTAAAGCTGTGAAGGGCTACACAGCGTTCAAGGAGGATTAATGGAACTCAGTGATATTAAGATGGTGGAAGAGCCAGGGATGTTAGGATGGTTATCAAATAGTTATTGAGGGTCTTCTACATGCCAGCTGCTGTGTCAGCTCTGAGGATTTATTTGTGAACAAGAAAAGCAGGGTTTGTCCTCATGAACCTTATATTCCAGTGTGGGAGACCATAAACAAGACAAATAAGTAAATAACTTAAATTCAGGCAATAAGGGCTATGAAGAGAAATAAAGCCAGGTGGAAGATAGAGAGTGGTGGGGTAGGGTGAGGGTGGATAGTTGTTTTATGTAGGGTGTTCAGAGTAGGTGACATTTGAGTAGAGACCTGAAAGAAGGAGGGGAGACAATCATGCAGTGATCTCAGGAGGAATAGGCTTCATAGGCAAGAGGAATGGTTAAGTGTAAAGATTCCAAGGTCAGTGAGCTTGGCTTCTTCAAGAACAGCCAGAAGACCATCCTGTTAGAACATAGTATGTAAATGGTTAGGAAAACCATTGTGTTAAGATATTGGAAGGGGAAAGCAGTTATACAGTGGCCAGAAAGAAGGTAAAATAGATCCAAATAGAAATTTAAGAGATTAAAGTGGGCTCTGTTACTGCTACCTAACTTCACAGTGAGGGACTAGGAGGTGTTTTGAGTACATTTTGGTATTTCTAGGGGCCCTTTTTTTTTTTTTTCAAATCCTCTGCTATGTCCCGTGTGCCAAGAGAAGTAAGAAATCTTAAGAGAGGCCAGCCTGATTCCTCTGGGGCTGCTTTAATTCCAGGAGACTTTGAAGATAGGAACTGGGAGTCAGGAGTCCTTATCCTGCCTCAGCTGATGACTTATCATGACCACACTGGGTTTATTTTCTAACACAAGTTCCTTTTTATGAACAAGGAGGAACATTTCAGATACCTACCCCACCGATGTATCTGTATGTGTGAACTTTTTCTAAGTGCATGAATTACTCTGTAAATCCCTATACGATTATGTTTGCTATTTACAATTAGTTTTCCCATAGAAACAGTCATATGATGGAGTTATAAGCTCCCAGGCCATCACACAGCCCGTAGTTAACATGTCTGGAATATAATCCTTGTAGTACAATAGACCCAAATCATTGTTTGACACTGATTGCTGTCAAAGTTCCAGCATGAATACAGCTCTTCTGCTGGAATGCCACTGGAACTAGGACTCCACTGTTACACTCCATCAGGAAGCAGAGCAATCTCCCTGAGCTATAGGCAGTGCTGCTTACATTCAGAGTGTGGTGGAAAGGCCTTGGCTGGGTGATGTGGGCATTAGGACCAGGGCTGGGAGGAAGGCAAGAGATGATGGTGGGGATCAGGTTTTCACTTCTCTGTTTCTTCTCTGTATGCCCCTTTCCTTTTTCAAAAACCCAGAATCAGCAGCCCACAGATACTGGAATGGGATTTTAAGGAAAGAATACTGGGATTTGGTTAATGGAGGGAAGTGATGAGACAGAGCATGCCCTTTCTCCTCTTCCTTTCTGCACACATGGGACTTCTGAGCTGATGAGAAATGGGCTGAAAAAGATTCCTTCTGATCTTTCCTCTCACCACTTACCCCATGTTGTAGCACTACCACTGGGGTGAGATGAGCAGCTGAGACTGGGGTAGTACTGTGTGGCAGGATAGTTGCTGGGTGGGGTTCCCCCGGGACTGAGGGCTTCTCCCAGAGAGGAAGGAGAGGATTCCCTGTGCCTGTTCCTGGTCAGTGGTGTAACTGTTGTTAGGCTGCTTCTGTTTGCTAGGGCTGCGTATATCAAATAGCTCATTTCACAAGCTGTCTTAGTCCATTTGTGCTGCTAAAACAAAATACCTGAGACTGGGTAATTTATAAAGAACAGAGATTTATTTCTCACAGTGCTGGAGGCTGGGGAGTCCAAGATCGAGGGTTCCACATCTGGCAAGGGCCTTCATGCTGCGTCATCCCATGGAGGAAGGCAGAACGGCAGGAGAGCACGAGAGAGCAAGAGATTGAACTTGCAGCCTCAAGCCCTTTTATAATTGGCATTAATCCATTCTTGAGGACAGAGCCCTCATGTCCTAAACACCTCACATTAGGCCCCTCCTCCCAACACTGTTGCATTGGGGATTACTTTTCCAGCACATTTTTTGGGGGGACACATTGCAAATCACAGCCTTGATCCCCCTGTGAGAGAATAGTTCTGGTTGGGTCTTTTCTGCAGTTTTTCACATCCAACCTCTCTGTCCAAGGTCTGTGATCAGTATATCAAAATAGTGAAATGAGATTACAAAGTAATTTTCCGTAAAACATATATTCCATTTTGGGATCTGGATACAATTAAAGTTTAGTGTTTTTTGTCTCTTTTGCAGTAAAAACATAATTTTAAAACATATCTTTTAAAGTGGTCATTTTAAGATCAGATTATATGGATTCAGGACATTTTTTAATGGGTTTGTTACTTGGCTTCACAAAAGTACATGTGAAGAGAAACTGAAATGCACTGTCTGAATGAGGCAGCAGGGTGCTGTGGGCAAGTGGATGGGCTCTGGAGTCAGAACCAGGTCCACGTCCCAGCCACCTGCTGGCAGTGTGGTCTTGGGCATTCTGCTTAAGCTTTTCTGAGACTAATTTTCCTCTTTTAAAAAATGGAAACTAACTATTTTTCACAGTTATTGTATGCATTGGCATATGGCAGGTACTCAGTTCATCGTAGTTACCATGATCAGAGTAATAAAAGCAAGAATTTGGGTGGGTACTAGCAAAGAAGCAACTTGGGTTATTGTATGCATTGGCATATGGCAGGTACTCAGTTCATCGTGGTTACCATGATCAGAGTAATAAAAGCAAGAATTTGGGTGGGTACTAGCAAAGAAGCAACTTGGGTTTTTTTTAATTGGTTCTTTAAAAATGTAATGGTAACATATGTTATCTTATGACGCTATTATGAGGATATGATGCTACATATATACATATGACACTATTATAAGGATTTCCCCCCACTAAAAAGGTCATTTGTAACATTTTCTTCTCTTACAGGAAAAATGCCAGCTGTGGAACAAGGAGCACAGGCCGCACCACCTCGGCAGGCACTGGGGGGATGTGGCGATTCTACACAGAAGATTCACCTGGCCTCAAAGTGTAAGTCTTGGGAACAGACCTTGTGTTTCTAGTGTCACCAGAGCAGTGCTGTCTGTCTCTGCCACCAGGGGTGCTTGCTTTGATGAGATTTACAGTACACAGCAGCTTCATTTGTGCCAGGTGGGCTGGGTTTGGTTTGCCCATTTATCAATCGATTAGACAGTTTAGGGCCTGGAATGACATCTCTTCATGGAGGGAGTAAGAGGAAGGGATGATCTTCATGTAGCTATGTCAGAATAAATGATGGGAACCGAGAGAACTGGAGGGAAAACCACTTAATTAGATGAAATTGCTCTTGATTTGGTGTTCTTGCCCCACACTGAGAAATAGGAGTAATCATTTGAATAGGAATTGGGTGATTTTTCAAAGTTTTCCTGGAGGTATAAGCTGATCCTATTACAACCTAATGGAAGTTTTTCCATTAGGCTGTGTTACCAAAAGTTCCTTGGCCTCCTTTGGTGGGTGGTGAGTAGACGTGGGTGAACTTATCACTTTTCAAGTTCTTAGGCCTGGGAGTGCTCATTAGGTGATGGAAATGGGCATCAAGGGGACCCCTGTCCCCATGCCTTGCTCACCACACTTGCCAGGATTTCTGGTGCTATGTGGCAGACCCGATCCCACAGCTTTCTGACCGGAGTAGGCTCTAGAACACCACCGCTTACACCTGTTCCCTGACTATACCCAGTGGATGAGGAATTGGAATAGTGATAGCAATTCATTTGCATAGGACTTGATGCTTTGCCAAGAACTTTCAATATCTATTTTCTGGTTTGATCTGCTCAAGCAATCCTGTGGGATGGGAGGTGTTGCCATTTTGCAGATGGGATTCAGGGAGGTGAAGTGACATGCTTGAAGACAAACAGCAAGAGATGGAACCAGATATTCTGACTGTTAAATCCTGCCTGGTAGGAAAGAGGCAAAATTGGGTTAATTTGGATTGGTTTAATTAATTTGACCAGCAGCTTGACTTGCATCACAAATTTAGTTTATTAAGGCTTCTCTGGAATTCTTGAGATTTTGATTCTATTTATTGATTCCTCCCCCCCCTCCTGCCCCCCCATTATATTGGAGACTTATATGGTAAGGCAAGAATCTGTTTAGGAAGTAATTCTTCTTTGGGGATATGTGAGTTGACAGCATTCTGACTGACAACCTTTTGGTCTTTGTTAGAGGGAAATTCTCTGAGAATTTCAGAGAGAAATTTTGAAGCTCCTTGCTCTTCAGAGTATTCAAGGGACTCATTTTAAACCCTTTTTCAGAAGGTAGTAAAAACCTGTTCCCCTATGGGTGAGTCTGGCTTGTGTTTGCTCTGGGCTTCCTGCTGTTGTACAGTCAGACTTGCTTGCTGCTACAGCTTGAGTGTTCCAGGAATCAATAGAAGCTATTTCTGAAAATGTCATAAACCACACTCTCTTCACATCAAAGATAGATATTTTTGGTGAAGGGATACAGTTGGGAATTACTATCTACAAATCCATGTCTTAGAGCAATCAGACAATATCTTGGAGCTTGCTTTTGGCTCTTTCTAGGAGTTTAGAATTCTTTTTCAGGTTGATAATAGAATTTCCCAAGAGTGTATTATAAGCCTGTGTTTAATGTGTATTAATTTATTTAGTACTTAAGCAACCCTGTGAGATAGGTACTATAATTATCCCCACTTTACAGATGAGAAAACTGAGGCTTGGAAAAGGTAAGTGTATTCATCTATTTCTATTGCTTATGACAGATTACCTGAAACTGGGTAATTTATAAAGAAATGAAGTTTATTTCTTACAGTTTTGGAGGCTAGGAAATCCAAAGTCCAGGGAACTCATCTGTTGAGGGTCTTCTTACAATGACATAGGGTGTTACATCGCCAATAGCCTGAGCAAGAATGAGCTAAACTTCTCACTTGCTGTCCTTATAAAACCATCATAACCACACCTGTGACCACCCATTAAACCATCAATGTATTAATCCATTCACGAGGATACAGTCTTCACAGTCTAATCACCTCTTACATTACAGGTCCTTTCAATTACCATAATAGAATTTCCCATCCTCTTAACACTGTTACAATGGAAATTAAGTTTCTAATACATGAACTTCTGGGGGACACATTTAACCCATAGCAGTAAGTAATGGGGCCAGTCAGTCACAGCTTGTAAGTGACAGTTGGTTTCCAAACCCTGCCAATGTAACTCCGAGAGGTGTACTCTCAGCTTTATGCTGTATGGCTGGTGTTACTCTAAGGTTGCCTGTAGGGTAATGTGATCAAGGGCAGTGTGGTGATGGTCTCTTCCCACGTACTTTTAAATTTGTTTATTCCCTTAGTGTACAAATTTTGGAGGAACAAAATAGGAGTGTAGCAAGGACTTTGATCTTTGTGCATTATTTATTGTTCAGCTGTGGTCTCTGTTACCCTGGCTGCTTCACCGGGTTACTTACACTGCCTTGATGATTATAAAGATTCCTTTTCTGTGGTCTTTTCCATTCTCTACTCCCTAGTCGTATCTGGGAGGTGAAGTGAGACATCTTGAATTCTCCAAAACGGGTGTTGGCAGGAGAGTCAAAGAGGTGCAACCTGTAATGTTTCACTAAAGTAGACATTCACAGGTTTTGTGAAATCTAGGAGTTCTCCCTTTAAGAAACTCATATGCTAATTCTCAGCCTGAAAGACATTTGATTTAAGAAAGGGCTGATGAGTAAAATTTCTTTCCTATAATAAACTCATGAATATAAATCAAACTTAGTACATGTTGCCTAGAATATTTGCTCTTTGAAGGTGGAAACCTTGAGACAGTAAAATGAGCAGTATGTGTGGAATCAGAAAACCTGAGTTCAAATCTCTTTCCATTCTGGTGTGTGTTTGTAGGCAAGTAATAATTAGTCTCATTGAGCCTCAGTTTTCCTTATTTATAAAGTGAGATTAATACTTGTCTCATGTGTGTCATGAATGTGTTATACAGGTCAAATGGGATCTTATTTTTGAAAACACACTGTAAATTATTTAACGTGGTGTTCATATGTGTATATGTAATACATTGTAGTTAGACAAGGAAAGTGGTCTTTAAATAAATCTTAATTTGAAAAAAATAGTTTGGTGATTAAATCACTTCACTTAAAGACTTTGGGAAATTTTTCTTCTTTTTATTTTGGAAAATATCAAATACATGAAATTAGACTAGTGTCTCCAAGACATCAGATCATTTTATTTGTAATGTTTTGGTATGTTTCACTAAAAGATAAGGGCGCCTCCTTTCTAAGCACTACCACAATGCCATCATCAAAATATCCACAATAATAATTTTGGGAATATTTTTAAATGATGTAAATTATGTTCTTGGATGACTCTTAAGAGCTTTCCTCCCTTCCCCCCACTACTCCCCTAGGCAATCTTTAATATTACAAATGTGATGATAAATTATTACTAAAAGTAAGCTTGTCTTCTCTTCTTATTTCTAGTGGCCCTGTTCCAGTATTGGTTATGAGTCTTCTGTTCATCGCTTCTGTGTTTATGTTGCACATTTGGGGCAAGTACACTCGTTCATAGATTCAGCTACATCCATCTGTCATCTGAAGAAGAAGGAAAAAACCCAACATATCTTGGACCAAAGTATAGTGATTTTCTGTTCATGAGAAAAATTTTCTGTAAGCTTACTGTTTTACAAGGAACTTAACAGGAATTGATTTTGAGGAATCAGTTTTTTTCTATGGCTAATAAACTTTTTAATTCATTTGTACTGGGTCTGATTGCTAATGCCCCATTGTTAGGGCCCTTAGTCTCTTGACCTTTAGATTTACAAGTAAATATGTAGAAAATATGTATTGTGGAGATTGTGTTCTTTGTTGGATTGACAGTTCCTTATATGACCATGTGGTCATTCAAACCAAAGATACGGTAGTTGGCTTTGGCTTGTTTTCTTCTAGGTATTTCTGTCCTGGTGATTGTCATTTTGGGTATTCTGCAATTTTCAAAGAGTATGCCTGTGATTCCTTCAGGCAGATCTGTGTTCAAAGGCAGCTGGTACCCAGGGAAACAGTCAAAGAAATCAGAAACTGGAAATCTTGGATGAAATGTTTGCTCGTTCTGTTCTTTGTCTCTAAAACCATAGTTAATATTTTGCCTCTTCTTTCTCTCTAGTTCTTAATTCCATGCATGTAGACCGGGGGTTTCCACCCATTTATCTTATTGCTAAAACTATTTTGAAAGAATTAATTTTGTAAATTGGATTTATCAAATAAAATTTTGTTTTCATTTGAATTAAAATTAAAGACCTTTCTAATCAGAGTGAGATACTAGCATTTCAACACTGAGTTAATATAATTCCAACCAAAAAAAAGTTTTGGAAGTTTCACTTAGCTTATGCTGCCATACTGGATATAAGCATTCAATTTCTCATAGGCCCTAGGAAATACCGAGGATTTCTCAGAGGAGCCTAGGACTCCAAGCCAGAATTTCTGAAGAGTAAGTGAACCCTGTGAAATGCCCTAGTTTTCCAGCAGAATCACAAAATGATGAAGAGGTGTATTAGTTAAAAAATAGATAATTTAGGCCGGCCCGGTGGCGCACTGGATAGTGCGCCCGCTTGGGAAGCGCGGCAGCGCTCCCGTCCCATGATGAAGAGGTGTATTAGTTAAAAAATAGATAATTTAAAAAACATCTTTTTCATAGATTAAGCTTATTTAAAAAATTATTTGAACAATTAAGCGATTTCATAAGTGTTTTTTAAAATTCTAGCTGTAAAGTAGTTTTCAGTCCAAAGTGTCAAATTTAAATGATGAAAGTATGTATTTTTAAAAAAGATTTCCTAGGGCAGTATAATGGTGAGTGTGCTCTTGTAAATCCTAACAAATGGCATTTCATTGGGAAAAAGTTGATGAAAAACTGGTTTCCTTGGATCCTGTGAATTGCTTATTACATGAAACAGGTGTCTTTATTTTTGAAATGCAGGGAAAAAAGTCTCAGTTTTGTTTGGAAGAAATTAAAGATGATAATATCTATAATGAATTTTTCCGATAGGTTCATGGTACCAATAACAGCTAATTTGGAAAAAATATCTGTTCCTCTGTCCAGGGAGGTTTGTTTCTTCTGGGAGAGGTGCTGCAGCCACACGGGGGAGCTATTTGGTTATGAGGGGGGCATTCTCTTCCTTGCACCCATCTGCCTAGCCATGGCCTCTGGTGGACTGGTAGCTGAAAGTCACTGAATCTTCTGAGCTAGCAATTTATAAGAAAATGTTAATTTTCAGGGGCAGAACAAGGAGATATTTCATTCAGCAGAAGGAGGAGAAGGAAAATTGGGGGCTGGGTATAAAGATATACAACTATTATGTAGCTCCTTTTGGCTCTGATGATACAATGCTAATACCGTAGCTGAGAATCTTAGTGTTCAAGCTGTTCCTTTTTTTTTTTCCAATTTTTTTTATTGTGATATAAAATACACATAAAAATTACCATCCTGACCATTTTTAAGTATATGAGTCAGTGATATTAAATACATTCATATTGTTGTGCAACCATTACCACCATCCACCTTCAGAATTCTTTTCATCTTGCAAAACTGAAACTCTATACCGACTAAGCCATTACCACCCTTCCCCCTGCCCCTGACAACCCCTGTCGTATTTTCTCTATGATTTTGACTTTTCTATGTACCTCATACTTGTATAAGTGGAATCACACAGTAGTTGTCTTTTTGTGACTGTCTTATTTCACTTAGCATAATGTCCTCAAGATTTATCCATGTTCTAGCATATGTCAGAATTTCCTTTTTAAGGCTGAAAAGTAATTCCATTATATGTATATACCACATTTTGTACTCCTTTCTTCTTAAATAGATATTCCTGGGCTGTTGTTTCCTGAGCCTTTTATAGTAATTCTAAAAGCCTAACAAATTAGATCTTTACCTGAATTAAGTCTACCTTAGCCCAATGAATCCTCAAGCTCCCTTGACTACAGGCTATAATTCCAGCCACTTCTTCGTGGATACATAAGCCAGCACATGCTGAGTGGAAGCTCTAAGTGATTAAGCAAAAGTTGAAAAATGAGTTATGTTATAACTGCAGTTTGGGCTGAGCCTTTTAAGTCATTGGGAAAGGGCTCAAAGAGTTCCTGGGTCTAGTGGGGCATGGGAAGACTAGGATCTCTGGGCCCTAATATTACTCTGAACACATTCCAGTGAAACTGGATGAGGATAGAACTGTTCCTGGGGGTGCTAAATACACTGTAGTCTGTTTTCACACCTGTCCTAGTCTTGTCTGGTTTTTTCCAGGTGCCAGTGCCTCCACAGGAAGAATCAAAAAAGACATTTTGAAATCATGCAANTTTGAAATGCAGGGAAAAAAGTCTCAGTTTTGTTTGGAAGAAATTAAAGATGATAATATCTTTAATGAATTTTTCCGATAGGTTCATGGTACCAATAACAGCTAATTTGGAAAAAATATCTGTTCCTCTGTCCAGGGAAGTCTGTTTCTTCTGGGGGAGGTGCTGCAGCCACACGGGGGAGCTATTTGGTTATGAGGGGGGCATTCTCTTCCTTGCACCCATCTGCCTAGCCATGGCCTCTAGTAGACTGGTAGCTGAAAGTCACTGAATCTTCTGAGCTAGCAATTTATAAGAAAATGTTAATTTTCAGGGGCAGAACCAGGAGATATTTCATTCAGCAGAAGGAGGAGAAGGAAAATTGGGGGCTGGGTATAAAGATATACAACTATTATGTAGCTCCTTTTGGCTCTGATGATACAATGCTAATACCGTAGCTGAGAATCTTAGTGTTCAAGCTGTTCCTTTTTTTTTTTCTTCGTATAGCATACATTATACGAAGTTATCGTTCAAGCTGTTCCTTTTTTTTTTCCCATTTTTTTTAATTGTGATATAAAATACACATAAAAATTACCATCCTGACCATTTTTAAGTATATGAGTCAGTGATATTAAATACATTCATATTGTTGTGCAACCATTACCACCATCCACCTTCAGAATTCTTTTCATCTTGCAAAACTGAAACTCTATACCGACTAAGCCATTACCACCCTTCCCCCTGCCCCTGACAACTCGTATAACTTCGTATAATGTATGCTATACGAAGTTATTACGGCTCTTCTGGTGCTTCTTCTACCCAGTCTCTCTTCACTGCCTCCTATACCTACTAGGCCCTGACGCCCACCAGCCTGGATTCAGCTCTTGTAGGTGTCTTAGTAGGAGAACTGAAAAGGAACAACCTTTCAATCATCCCTGGAAATCAGACAAAATTATATTGGAGCTGCTGGAAACACAATACTTATTAAATTTTAAACACAGGGAAAAAAAATCAGTTATTGAAACATAAGTACAATCGTCAAGGATCTGACAGAATTTTATGCAGTTTTCTTGCAACACTTTCAGCTCTCCATGCTCCAGAGTATCTACCCAAGAAAATAATAGGCTTTAAAACAAAATCAGCTCACCATCCAATACAACCACTCCATGAAACACCTCAAAGGCTGACTGCAGAGAAGAGCATTTTATGAAACAATCTTAGCAATGGTAGGCTACGAAGGGACAGCTGCAACTGAAAAAGAAATAAAATGTTCTATAAACCTTCTGGTGGTGTTGGGTTTCACTTTTCTGCTCCTATTGTTGAAGGACTCACTATATTTCATTACCTTTGACTCTGCTACATATGACCAGTATTAAGGGTTGTGTCCTCAACTTTGGCTACTCACTGGAATCACCTGGCAAAATTTAAAAAACCCAGATACTTAGGCCACATCCTAGCCCAATTAAATGGGAAACTCTAGAGGTGGGATCCTCTATCAGATTTCTTAAAGCTCCTTTGGTAATTCCAATGTGCAGCCAAGTTTGAGAACTACCAATCTAACTTTCAAATTTGAGGATATTTGAAAATTAAGAGTATTCATAATATGAAGCCAGGTAACATGTAGGATGATTTCAAGCAACTTGTGGGGTGTAACAAGAGCATCAATGTGTTTGATGATTGAAGCATTTCTCTTCAAGTGGCCCGGGTTTGGTGACACAGGCCTATATTTTCCTCTGCACATCCAAGCACGCTCCCTACTTTTGCAGTAAATAATATTCACATAATTATACTGTATTGCTTTCGAGTTTTGGAATTAACCTATAGAAAAAGCATTTAAGACAACCATAGTTACAAAAGAGAATTTAAACATTTTAACTTTGGACAATATAAAAGTAATGACCTAACTGACAGAAGCTGGGAAATGTAAGGGAAGGGGAAGGAAAGGAAAACAAATGAATCAGAAATACTACTTAAAATTAATGGATTGAGACATAGTGCTTTAAGTCTATGAAATAATGGATATGGATATAAATTATTAATATATATGTAATTAAAATATAGGAGGTAGTAATCTAAATCCCTCTGGTTCAACTGCTGGCCCTGCAATTTACCAGTTGTGAGATATTGGGTAATTTCCCTTCTCTGGGTCTCATTTTTCTTATGTATAAATGAGTATGGGTATGATAATTCCTACCAAATAGGAAGATTAGACTAGAAGAAAGATGTGAGAGTGCTTTGTTAATTAGCTAACAGTTAACAAATGCTTATTAGTTTTGAAGATATGGTTTCTTATTTAAGTGGCAATCTAATGAGGAGTTTTCTGTTTATCCAGTCTTACACAGGAGGAAACTGAAGCTTAAGCCATTCAGCTGATAAGTGGAAGAGCTGGGTTTAAGTCTAGATATTTGACCTACCTGCCAGAGTCACCCAGATGGGGTTCTTAAG